TATTTTGCTGAGTTAGCACACCTATAATATTCAAATAACGGAACTAAACAAAAAAAGGGATACAGATGAATGTCCATTTTGTACCTTGAAATCCCTTAATGGCTTTACTTAACCAGAATGAAACCATATGGGAAAACCTCTCCTGCTTTTATGTTGACAAAAACAAAACAAAAAAAAAAATGTAGGAGGAGTTGGGGTGGCTGTCTCTCTTAATGCTGAGAGTCACTTTAACTGGCTGTTATGTTAAGTTCAAGCATCAGGCATTTGTCGAATTTATCTTTTGTGAAACCCAAAAGCCAGAGGGCAGTGGCCTCAGGCGAGCTTTTGGCCACAGGCTGTCCTGTTGCCGGCACTTGGCTCCAGCCAAAAGCCTGGGGTATTTTTCAATGGACACCCTCTTTTTCTTTCTTGCCCTTGCGCTTCTCCCCCACAGCTGAATAAGATGGTCGTGCCCTGCTGAGGTGGGAGCAGGTCTCCCTAAGCCTTGCGCGATGGCATTTGCCCAGGCTGCAGTTACGGTCCTCCAGTTGTGGCAGAGGCTGTTTGGTGGGCTGGGGAGATAGCTCAGAGGTCTGAGTGCTTGCTCAGGACGCGGGTTTGATCCCTGGTGCCATATGCGAAGCTGAAGGGGCTTGACTTGCAGGCCACTAAAACAGGGTGTGGGTAGCACATGCCTGTAATCCCAGTGCTGGGGAGGCTGAGACAGGAGGATCACCATGAGTCTGAGCTGCAAAGCAAGACCCTGTACCAAACAAACAAACAAACAAACAAACAAACAAGGCTGCTTGAGTTCTTAAAGGGATAGTTACTATTTTTTTGGGTGTGTGCAAGGAGGAAGTTTCCTCTCCTGTTCTTGTAAACCCATATGCTGTGTAAAATCAGAAGCTTAGCTTGTAACCCAGTTATTAAGAAAAAGGGAGATAGAGGAATAAAAGATAGCAGCCGCTGGTGAGGCACACCCCTTAAAAGTAACACACAGCCACGCAAAAGGACCGGACGTGGCTGGCTGCCGGCGCGTGGCAGAGCAGCGCAAACCAAGAAGAAGTCATTGACACACCAGGCTAAGCTGAGACCACGCTCATTTAGCAAAATACACAACAAACAGGCGCGCGGAGGACAGGCACGCCCGAGAGTGAGTTCGGAGGCCTTGCCTGTCCCGACCCGCTGCCGGCCACCGAGCTCCTTCGTGGCTCCTCGGGATGAACGCTGCGATCTGGCTTAGAGGAGAGAGCGAGGAACAGGAGCAGAGCAGAGCCGGTGGCGTTTTAGGGAAGAGCAGGAGGCGTGCCGGGCCCTGCCTAGTCGCCAGCTCCTGCACCCGCTGTCGCTGTCGTGGCCAGCAGTGCCAGCGTGCAGTTGGGCGGCGCCTTTATGCAGGACTCGCGGCCGAAACGCTTCCAGATCCTCTTGCCTCCAGCAAAGGCTTAAACGAGACAAACCAAAAACTGGTGTCAGAAGGTTGGCTGAACAGCGAAGGGTGAGCGGGCGTGGCGGAAACCAGCTCTACAGCGCAGGCTGTGCTGGGGGCGCAGGCAAAAGCAAAGCTGAAAGTACACCACACCTGAGACACGGGGCGTGGGCTGTCACCGTGGGAAGTGGGTGCCGCGCCCCCGCGGGGTCCAGCCTTCTTGCGCAGCTCTGCACCCGGGCCTGGGGCCGCCCCGCGAGCTGGGC